GATGGAATGGTATATTTAGGCATTTGTAGGAAGTTCAAATGAGATGGTTCCAACCTGTATTAAAGTGGGCAATGTTCAGATAGAATGTGTTTTACTGTCTCACTTCTCCCTGCTAGTAAACAAGAAAATTAGTATTTTTATAACTGTAAAAATGTCTAAGTTCCTCAGAAATTACAGCTTAGGGTACTAGAGGTGGTATGAGAGATCTTTGTAACTCTTGGTTTGTAATTTGTGTGGATTTAGTACTTGTATTTTTACATATAGTTAATGATATCAATTCTTAGCAAACAACTGAAACTTATAATCTTGGTCAAACCTAGTATGCATGGATATTCTACCAGTGCCTTTTTACTGTTCTCATGTTCTGTCTTAATTCAATAACAAAAATGCCTTTTTTTTCTGTAGGAAAGGCTCTGCCCAAAATCCTGATGTCCCACGGATGCCAAAAGAAGTTCTACCTTAATGTCTGTAACAATTATAAGCAAAGACCTCAGGATTTGTGCCTTACTTACTTTCATTTTACATTCCTCTCTTTAGACTATCAAAATGTCCTCATTTTTTTCCTTCCCTAGTTGAGAGGCATCGCCTTTTAGTTTTCTGAAACTGAAAAAAAAAAATGTGTTGAAGTAATATTAAGCGGAGAAAAAGAGCTCTTTTGTTCTGTTAGGAAGTTCTAACTGAACCTCTTTAGTCACAGCTATGAGAAACCTGGCTGAAGTTTGAAAACTGAGATGCCACTGCTAAACTGACTAGACGGCTATAACGGTTACATTTGACCGAAAAAACACTTCTGAAAATACTCCCTGGACATCTGTCAAGAAGCAGCTCCTCACTCATGATCTCACATAGGAAATGGGAAGGGCATACATTATTTATCTGCTGAGTTTGATAAAGCCAAGACTGAAAAAGTGATTGTATAAAGAAGATTGCAAGTGCCTTGTTGCTATGTTCAGAACAAATTTCTCCCAAAAATTGTTGCCTTATCCTGAGGGGATGGGAGGATAACTCCTGCAGGAGCTAAGTGCAGTTAGTCAGATGCTGGACTACACAGTGAGCATTTAAAAGGTCAGTATGCAGAAGAAGCAGTCTGGTTAGAATATCACTTTGGCCTCATTGTTCTGCCTGTATATTCTGTGAAAGCAATGTATGTAGGACATGAGGGAACAAACACATACCACAAAATCTACACTGCAGAGGACAGGGAGTGGTAATGCCTTGTTTGCAGGTGCAGTTGCTCCATGTTTACAATGCCCTTTGGCAACATTTCACTTGTAGGGAACAGATTTACTTGATTTTTTTGTGCATATGTGACATTTTTTGTTTAATTTTGAACTCCACTCATTTACCACAGAAATTCCGTATCACAATTACTCTGTTCCAGTTCCCAAAATTAACTAGCCAGTGACATAGCCAGTAGGTCCCAGCTGAAGAAGCCACTGTCACAATACAATCGGATGACTTTGTCCAGAGCTTTGAAAATCTTGAATAGCTGAACCAACCTATTTTATAGCGAATAGTTTGTAAAAACCTTTGGCCCATGAAAAGCAGAGTTTTCTTATGTTGTTTTCACTCCTATTTTGTATATTATTTTCACTGGAACTATATTTGAACTTGTGACTGCCCTTTAATTGATATATATGTGCTTGGCTGAACATGACAGCCTATCAAAGGAAGAAAGAACACTGTAGTCAGTGGCAACTTTCACCATCATCTAGAAGGAGGCAAAGCTTAGTTGCTGGGAAACGGCAAAGGTAATCCTCCATCGTTCCACAGCTGTTGTTCTGAAGGAAATGAGTACATCTTGTGGGTACTACGAATTATAAAAATAAACTTGGACAACCACAAAAAAGGATTAAAAATGAAATGCAGCCTGACTCCTGTTTCGTTTTCCTGTTGGAGGTACACAGCTCACTGTCTGTGTCGGTGTTACCTAACCACAAATTGCCTTCTCATCTTCTGCAAGCTGCATTGCTGTCAAATGATAGTGATGACCCAGCCACACTGTCTAAAGATGTCAGGGGAAGAGAAAAACCAGACTCCTACAAGTGACATAGCGAATATTCCTTTCCTGTTACAAATTCCACATAAAATCTAAGTAATTACTTGGCTGCAGTGATACTTAGTCTACAGGACAATGCGTTTACAGGCATTTAGGAACAGCAGTTAACAATAATACTTGCATATGGGTTTGATATCTTGTGTTGTTAAAACAAATCAGCAAGTCTAGACTGTAATTTGCTGAAGCAATTTATGGTTATTTCATGGCTTTTTTTTCTCCAAGTAGAGGTGAATACATTCCACTATCTCAAGACGAAAGATGGTAGTGCACATTCTTTTCGTTTTAACTGTAAGACTGATCTGAAACAGAAGGATTAACATCCTGATTTTCATACCACATTGAAAACTGCCCTAAACTATTAGTGCTTTATTCCACTATGATTTTCAAATATTTTGGGAACTGCTGATTAATTGTGAAAAAACACTGCTGCAGCCATTTCTTCACAAATTAGTAAGCTGAGACCATCAATATAATAAGTCAGTAGCAGAGCAGGGAGCAAGGACCCATATGGGAAACCCTCAGCTGCCTTATATTGTTACTGAAGTCATCAAAGTATAACAGCTGACGGTAGTTGAGGGTTCCCATTAGCTTTTCAATGCTGGGCTCTTGCTCCACTAGCAAGGCAAAACAAATGCTTTTTTGTATTTCTGGAAACATTGCAACATTGCTTTATGACAGATTTGCCAATACTTTTCTTCTAGGTGAGCAAGTACTTGCAGGCAATTTTTTCACCCTATTTTCCAGCCTTATTGCAAGTCTGACACAGCATCAAAATCTGTATAACACAAGAAGACACTGGACTCATTCTGCTTAGATATGATTGCATTTCTGAAGAATGTAACATGATATACAGAAAAATAAACAAAAAACCCCCCAGGCTTTCCAGAGCTAAGAAATACTTTCCCAGTGAGAGCTTGATTTCCTTGTACCTTTCAGCCAGAAAAACCAGTCCCCGTCTTACAAGGCTGGTGCCAGGCTCTGCTCTGTGGTACACTCTGATGCCAAGTTCCCACATGGATGAAACTGTTCCCAGATAAGGGACCCAAAGGGGCTCTGAGATCTGCAGCGAACTTTACAAAGCCGTCTCCCATCTGTCTGTTCTCTAAAAGGGAGGCTCCTTGAAGAGTGTGGACCGTGGCTTCAGGTCAATCACCAGCAAATGAGCACACTTAGCAATAAAAGAAAATGGATTTATACAGATTAGCCATTAGATGACTATGAATCAGAGGAAAAAATAGGTCATGTCTTTGTTATAAAATTTTGTAAAGAAAAAGCGGCAATTTAGCCAAGAGAAACCTTTTCATTTGCATGGACATCTATGCCTTCCAAAGCTAATCAGTTATTATACTGAAGATCTTTATGAACATGATGGAGTCTTGTACTGTACTGCTATCTTTTCTTTATTTTTTTTTATGCTTATGTAGATGTATATGAATTACATTCCCATAACGTAATGTTTAGGTAACTGTCTTGGTTTATTGCAACTGTCATACTGACAGATAGACTTTGAAAGAACAAATGCTCCTAGAAATCATCAGATTATGAATTTACAAGGAAGCATGTCTTTTTGTTAAGAAGGTAGAATGTCCATCATCTTCTATTAGTACAAAGTGGAATAACTCCACTGAAGTCAATGATTTGCTACAGTATCCTGTTTTCCTTAAAAGCAGAGGTGTGTTATGAAAGACATAACTATATACTCATTGCTTGTTAACCTTAACTAATACCCAAGCTCCTAGATGTCCATCTCACGTTTTCCAGCGGCTCCTAATTTCTGTGCTTCAGATGAGCATAAATGCATCATTTTGTGGTAGGAAATTAAAGACTTGCTGTTTTACAGAGCACTACATGAGCATCTTACAGCATTGTACAGACCATAACTAATCGAACCTTTGAACCTTCCAGGACATGGGAGAAGGAAGTTGGATTGGACTTCTGTTCCAAATAGACTGCAGTTTGTAACAAGCCACCTCATTTCAAATTATTGCTCTTCTGACATTATTATACTTTGGGCTGGGTTTGGTTTTATTTTGTATTGCCCATATGGAATGCAGTTTCTCTGTAACTTAATCCTTAAAACATCAGTTCTAAGAAAAGATCCTCCTTCATGTAAGAGATATGTGTGTTTATCAAGGTTATTAAGAAGCAGACGAGATTCTACAGGCTGGCACTTAGAATTCACTAAATGGGTAAAAAAGCCTGGTTTTATGATCTAAAAAGGCCACAGAAAGACAGGCATGAAACTATGTGATTGTATTGGGGCAATCTACAAGTATTAGCTGAATATCTGTCCCCTACTTGTTCAGAGAGATGTGCCAGGTTATTAAATTGACAATCATAAGTGAAAAATGTCCTGGGGCTCACACTGGTGTTTGTAGGAGGCCTCTGCCCCTGTAAGATGTTTTTCAAATTTCCATGTGCCATTCCAGGATGTGTGTCATGGCCTCTTCTGAGAAGAATGAAGTCACTTGGCCTTTGGCCTCATGACTACCAGCACACTCCAGGAAAGGAGTTTCTCACCAGGAGCCATAGCTACAATGTCTTCTTCTTCAATTACCCTCCTAGCTGTGCCAGACTATATTAACCCTTACTAAACACATATGCTGCCATGCTCCCTTGGATGCCTATGCTAGGGAAATCTTTGGAAAGGCTTATTGCAGTATCTGTTGTAACAGGGAACTGCAGCAAGAGTGATTTCAGTCTCTCCAGTAAACAGTTCGTGCACAGAATCTGATTTATTCTTTTGCCTTTCAACATCTTTTCTCTAACACAGAAAGTTTTAAAATGGTATAAAAATCAACTAAATACAAAGTCCCTACAGTCAAATCAGATGTAATCCTCTCATATTCCTTTTCTCCTATGACTTCTGTCAACAGTTTGCTCTTCAGTGCAGGATGATGGTGCTGGAATGTGACTGCGACACCACAACCACTGACAGTCTGATCGGACCAAAGCTGTTACTGTCACGGGCAGGGTAGATCTGGGCTCAGCAGGGATATGTATCTAACCCCCCTGAGCCCTGTGCCAGATGGGAAGGTAAAATGAGTCTTTCAGATCACCCTAGGGTCCTCCCAGCAAGCACTCACATTTCTCTGTATATGACAATCACTATATCTGGCAAGAAGCCATGTATTTAAACAAATATTTCTAACTAGACCCTTGACTCTTACCACTGTATTAAAGGGCTAAAGGTATTAGATTTGTGGACGTGTTCAGACAAATATTCTACGTGGTATTTTTTTTCATACTCCTAAACATTTCTGACAGTGTCTTTCATGATCTCCAGTCCAAAGGCTTTTCCAAACCTCCTAACATCCAGAAAGTAGAAGTCCCAGGTGTCATCTTTTGCTGTTTTCTCTGCTAAATCATGTAGAAGATTGGAGAGAATTTATTTTCCAAGAATTTGAAAAGCTAGCTAATACAAAACCAGAAATACTGATTCATGAGCATCCCCACATAACACAGGACTTCTTTTTATTCCACTTTCGCTAATTAGTGTGAAAAATTACCACTGTAAAACAATGCATTTGTATCTAGCTTTACTGGAACAGGCTCCCCAGGGAAGTGGTCACAGCACCAAGCATGCCAGAGTTCAAGAAGTGTCTGGATGACACTCTTGGGCACATGGTGTGACTCTTGGGGATGCTCCTGTGCAGGGCCAGGAGTTGCACTCAATGATCCTTGTGGGTCCCTTCCAACTCAGCATATTCTGTGATTCTGTGATTCTGTGAAGTGGCACTGATGTAAATGCAGAACAACTATACTGAATTGAATTTTCTCCTGATTTTCACCAGTGTGAAAACATTATTGGCCTGTCCTTTTTCTCAGAGCCCTTACCTTTCATCTGGAAATCAATCATTGCTCCAGATGAAATGACGTTTGACTAATGACAGGAAACCAGTATCAGAAAACCAGCTTATAACATACCACATACAATACACATAGCAGTCAGGCAAGACTAAGGGATTACAGCAACCCTACCATTTATGACTGCTTAAAAACTACGTACAGCTTTTACCAGGGGAGAAAACAGAGAAAGAATTACAAATTTTTCACAGTAGGTCTAACTAAGAAAATTATTACTTTCAAGAAGGTATTTTAAAACACTTTACTGAGGGTGTGCTCATTTCATTTGCTGCTGCTGTTCATCCCTGTCCTGAATTTTTGGGATAAGGAGTTTTCTGGCCCATGGGTCTTGGCTGAGAATGGCCTTCTCTCTGTCTTCTCACAAACCACACCAAAAGACCATGAGCTGTAGCACAACTATCTTAGACACTTTTCTTCTCAAAACACTTTTTTTCAAAGTAAATACAATTGACAATCATAAAGTTACAAGCTCCATTTGCAGCTGAACAGTAACTGAACAGTTATATTACATATTGGATCCTGGAACCAAGTATTTGGTGGGAGAGGACCAGACCCTCCTGGGTACTGCAGCCACACTGGACTGCACTGAGCCATAAACTAGCCTGGCCACTCCAAAGTTCATATCTCCAATCCTTCTCTATGACTATGGTTTTTCAGCTGCTTTAGACTTGTCTTGAACTCCCTGATAAGGCAATGCTTAGTCCTTCAGTTGGAAATACCATTTTCCTTGTTCCTAAGAGTTTCACTGGGAAGCAATCACTCAACCCACCTCTGCCTGTTAGAGCCACAGTGAGCTGCTCATGTACCTCTGGCTTAGGGTCTGGCTCCACAAATGGTGATTCCAGAGCTTGCTTTCTTAAATCTCTATTCCTGGCCTCAGTCTCTGCCTCACGGAGCATTTGGCTGAGCTCAAGTACATTAAGATGGTATTGCACGAACTTCTCTCTGCATGGTGTGCACACAGCAAAGACCCAACAGGGGAAGGAAAAGGGGAGATGGCTGTGCCATGTCTTACAGACTTTGCAGATAAAAAGTATCAACTCTAGCATTCAAAGGGGAAGAATTTTTTGTATGTCATTATGTGGTAGTAAAACAAGATATTCTTTGAATTCTTTGGCAGATCCGTCAAGCCTGATTGGAGAAAGGCAGCCACTGGGCCTCTTGGAGGGAGTTCTGTGTTATTCTGGTACTCCCCAAAGTTATGCTGAGTTGAAGAAGAGTGGACCAGCCAGCTGGCTTCTGGTTGACACCAGAAGAGTGATGAGGGGGAGAGGGACAATAAACTGAATGCAGACTACACACAACAGATTAGAAACATGAAGCAGGAGGACCAGAGAGAGCTGTGTGAGTGCCTGCTCTCTGAAGGACTTTAAATACTGGTATGATCTCCACCAGATTTTTGGTTCATGTTTCCACAACCTGAAGCTACCAAAATTTTTTCTATTTACATAATGCAAGATTTGCAGGGTATTCAGCAACACATCCCAGGGTCCACCCTACAATATCTGTATAGATATGACTTAAGTGCAGCTCTTCAACATAGTCTTATGCTGGTACGTTTGCCTAATCAAGGTAGGTTATCACAATATTAATGTTTTAACCAATGTGATAAGTTTCCGGGAAGGTAGAAAGCTGATTTTAGTAGATGACTGAAGAAATAATCCTACTTAGGATACAGTTTTTGCAATAGGAATAGAAGAAATAAACATAATGTGATACCAGAACTAAGAGAAAAGAAGTATATAACAATGCCAAAATTATAAAAAGAGAGGAGAAAGCCATTTTTGGGAAAGACAGTCCTTTACATAAATACTTCAGTTGAGTTGGTAAATGGAAAAGAGTTCCACTGATCTTGTTTACTGTTCCATCAATCCATTAGATATTTCTGTAGTGCTGTTTGTTTCTTTAATTTGACATTACCACTTATATGTCTTGTGAAATACCATTTGAATGCCAGGGCAACTGAGATTTTGGAACACACTGTTGACAGCTGTTTTGGAACTACAAGTACGATGTGTGCTACATCTGGTGAGTCCAGAGTGAAAAAATACAATGGAAAAGTACAATTTCTCATTTGGAGCTGCTGTGCAGGGTTTACAATATCCAAGTACCTTACTCAGTAAAGGGACTGTTTAAATGACCTACCCATAGAGATAGTCTTTTATAATCAATATAAAGATTGATTTGAGTATTTCTGCAAAGCTGGTCCATTCTTTCTAACTAGGAAAATTGACATAGAACATGAAAGAGAGATGCTTTAAATGCGTGACTAAAATAAATCAAATCAGTGAATCAATAAATGATCTAAAAATATTTTGTCATTAATTTTCATGACACAGCCATGACTATGCCAAGCAAGGCATCATGTGCACTCAAGCTTAATAAAGTCTCATACCTATGACTCACTGGCAGAAGTAGCAGTCAGCCTCCTGGAAGCTGCAATGAATAATCAAGGGATTTTTTGGTGTCAGGCTAACATTGTAGACACTACCAAGTAAAAGAGAGTGAAACCAAAAATAATGTACTTAAAAAAAGTTAGAAGCATAACAGCCAGGTAAGCAGTGTTATCTCTGCCAGCTCCAGAACTGACTATTCTTCAAAGTGAATTTTGGTGTGTGTGTATGTGGGTGATCTAGATGTCTGCACTGATCTGCTCTTCTCCTAGTCCTGTTATTTTACCAAGAGAAAGAAAGAAAGACTAAACTAGCAACAGAAGAGACTGGCATGCACTCTACACTGCTTCTTTTTCCCTTTCTTTCTTTAAACAGAGGTGGAGGTATCAGACTGTGGAATAGGAGTGTCAGACATACTGATGTTGCTCTGGGTCCCTGAACTGATTCGGGGTGACCATTCAAATATGAGAACTTCAGTATAGGTGGGTACTTGGCACTCAGAAGACAGTGCCCTCAGTACTTACAGGAATCTAATGGGGAACTGGAGAAATCACAAGGTCATCTGTTAATTCAGACACAAATTTTCCTTTCAATTTATGTTTCAGATGGCAAATTTTTCTCAAGACTTAATGTACGGGACCATGAGAGCAACTGATAGAGCTAAAAATAAGTATATTTTTTTCCAATTAAAAAGGTGCACAGTGATATTTTAAATGTCAAAGAAATTATAATTCAGGCTTTCATTGTATTATTATACTATGCTGAAGCTAACAGTTTTCCATTACTCTCTAAATAATATGTAATAATGATTTGAATAATATGTAATAATGATTTAGTGCACAGAATAAAAAAAAAATTAAATATTCATATTGAACCACAGAAGTTCTGGAAACCATATAACATCTGGGTGCAGAGAAAACCCTAGATCACCCAACCATTGTTTGGCCATTGATTCTGCAAGTAAAACCTCACTAGCTCCTACAAGTTTGAAATACTACACAGTCTCTCAAACCTATTCTGGATGAGGGAAAACAGAAAATTAACATTTCATAGAGGTAAAATTGTAATTTAAACTTTCTCTGATATTAAGGTGAATAAGAAGAAAGGTTTCTTAAATATAAGAGAACAATCAGGAATGTACAGGTCTCTCATCTAACAAACAATAACTTTTTTATGGTCAAGTTTTCTCTTCTTAAGAGAAAAATGGAGCTGACTAAGTAGCTTTGATATTTTCTCCATTTTCTTTTCCTAACAGTAGCTTTCACTTCATGTAAAATCATTCTGTGGCTGATATTCAAATCCTTTAAATATGTAATTTTCCTAAAAGCTAAAGTCAAGTTCTTTTTCTACTTCTTTAATACAGATTGATTAGATTGAGTGTCAGAACTCAACTAAGACCATCTAATGATGGAGCTTGCTTCAGGAAAGTGACTACTTCAACAACACTAATGTTTTATTTCAGATGGAGAAAGTCTTTCTTTTGAGGTTGCACATTTCTGTGTACTGCAATGATCTGGATGGGATTTAACCCCAAAAATCTAAACACTTACATTTTGTACTTCTATTTGCTACAGAGCCTTCAACAAGGAGTTGTAGTGCTCTCAGGCTGTCCTAGGCTCTACTGAACTTCTCAAAATATGACAGCAGGGGAAGTTTATTTTGATGACCACCTGTTCTTAGTTGGCTGATTTTGGCAAGGATTCCTGCATTTCCATGATACAATCCCACTGGCTTCAAATGAAAATACAGCCTTGAAACTGGAAGTGAAGAATGAGTATGATGCTGTGCTTGAACAAGAATATGCTCTGTTGCAGCACAGAAGGAGGCACTCAATAGGAATCACCACTTTAAGCACAATGGTGAAGACAAGTCTGGATTTTCTGTAATGACCATCACCAAAGCTTCTAAGTGCATCCCAAGTGCATTCCTAGCTGGCTTTATCAAATGTTCTGTTCTTCCTTCCAGAGCCTGTTAAGCTTCACTGTCCTGGGCACTGATGTGTGCTGGAGAAAAAAGGGGCATCTTGATGCCAGATCCTCTGCTCAAAAGGGGATTTGTGGAACTGTGCAGAGTTGGGGAACACTCCATCCACCTTGAATAATATGGTACAGTGAGGTCAGACCGTTGTTATGTGGCACAACACAACCTTGAAGAAGGATATAGTGCAGACATGAGTGATCCTCAGCTCCCCACCAACCCCACTTTTGCTTCAGAGATGTATTCAGTATTCAAGGCTGGCACTCAGTTCATTGGAAGCAACCTGTCTCCAAAAGCCAGAAGGCTGAAAAGATTTAGGAAAGAATCAAGGAAATGTCAATAACCAAAGCAGTCACCTTTCCAGCCAATCCTATCACCTTCTCACGCATTATAACATACCCATGATACTTTTAGTTTAGGAGGAACATTCTGGATTGATAAATAGAAATCAGAAATATGTGGCAAGTACTACTCTCAGGAATAAGTGTTGCTGGTGGAAGGTCTGCATTTCCAAAAATGCATCACTCCTTGAAGGCTACAGTGTGTAGAAGAACTTGGGCACCTTTATTTTTAAAATATGCAAGTGTAAAAAGTGAATTTCTACTTTGCTCTGAAATTAAGCAACATTGATTGTGTTTTTATAATGTCATTAAAAATTTAAGATTTCTTGTAACTATAAGAATGTACTAGTTTTATGTGACACAAATGTGTGCATTAAGAAATTTTGGCTGGACAGAACATGAAATCAATCATATTAGGATCATCCTTTTCCCAGAACAAAAATGTCAACCAACCAAGTTTAAAAAAACAATTTGTGAACTCCCTTCCCTTCTACTATACTTCTTTAAGACACACTGCATCTTAATTAATTAGACTTGATATTTTTGGGGTTGATAGCATTACCATTTTAGCAATTCTCCAGTCATCCACAAAGTTTGTTATGAAGTCTAGATTCAACTTTACACTGACATACAGTAAAATTAAACAAAAGTACATCTTAAAAATTAGAAGAAAACAAGACAGAGAATATACACCTTTTGGCTGCCATTTCAGGGTAGTATAGGCAATGTTCAGGAGTTCTCTAATGTAATACTTAATTTGGTTTTATTTAACTTATTCTGTAGTGTCACAAAATGTGCCATAGTCTTTGGCTTTGATTTTGCAACAGCATCTGCCTGAGTAGATCCTTATGAAGTCCCCTTCCTGAATGAGAGCTTAGATATTGTAAATCTATCCCAGTCATCCCTAAAGAGAAACTGGACTTTTTGACTGTCTGCACTCAAACCTCAGCACCTCCAGACACAGCACGCATCTCAGCCTTCACTTCAAAACAGCTGTCAAGAATGTGTGCCAGACTTTCAGCTGTCATGCCATACAGTCAGGATCCCACACAACATACAAATGGTAAAGTAGAATTAAATAATGGTACATGATACCAGAAGAAAAATGCAGTAGAGTTACAAAATGGTAGTGGTCATGCTCACTGATTTTACAAGAGTCAAAATTTTTCTGCTGGAGTGAGTTTAATACCAGAGAGTTCTAAAAATCATGAGTTTAAGATGTAGCTGCATTTGTTGAGAGAATATCTGCCTAACATATTTTTAAGAAAGGTGTCTTAAAATTTATCTGGACAAAATACCCCTTCCCTTTAATTTAGCTGTTATTTACTGTTCATGTAAAGCTCTTCTGTTCATGACTGATGAAGCATAGTGTGTAACTTTCAGCCTCCACATTGTGGTGTAGAAAAACCCTCTGAAACCACCTTTATGTAAAATTTGGAATGATTTCATCAATTACTAACACTCTTCCTCAATATAAGTAGAACTTTAGTTAGTAGTGTACTTGACGAGGCAGATTAAGCTGACAACTTTCATTAGTCAGACATACAACCATTGTAAAAATCTTCCAAACCAGAAGGTTAGGCTTGAGAAATGAGACACTGGTGTTGGCAGGTTCAGAGATATTTTCTCAACTTTATACAACAGTTCATCTGTGCCATTATAAATGGCAGAGAAAGTAATACACTGAAATAGATACTGATGGCCTGATACTGAAAGAGGCCAAAAAATAAGGAAAATTTAGATGGTCCTGATTAAGCAGTGTTATTTGTTGAATGCTATGACCACAAGCAAACCAGTTGAACTGAAACTCAAGTAAATACTTTTGCACTGGATTTTGAAATAAACATCATCATCAAAATGGGTGTGCACAAAATATATTGTGAGAATTATTTCATTAAGTATCTATATGACACAGCATTTACTTTTGTGTAAAGGCACTGTATGTTATTAGTTACACAGTATCAAATGAGGAAAAGCCCTTTCAGAGGTTCTCTAGACATTCTAGACATTGCTTTTATGAAAGATCAAGTCAGGCGAGATGATCTAATAGTCTCTTGTGACAATAACATTTAGAAATCTGTGAAAAAGTTTTAATAAAATATAAACCCAAAGTTGATCTGGTATTTCTAAGTCTTTTGAGCTTTAACATTTCCCCACACCCCATCTCCCCACCTCCCAGTTTAGTGTTTATTTCAAAGTAATCAAAGTTTTTATTTCAGAATTTCTTGTGTATTTAAGCACATTGGTGACACTGGTTGTCCACTTTCCTGTTGTTATTCTAGAATTCAGTAGCCTACCAGTCACAATTTCCACCGTGGCAGTGGTCTAAGTAGTTAAGCTTCTCATTCACTATTTGCAAAATTAAATAGAATGTTTAAAATGAAGTATCGGACCACCAAAATTCATCAACTTTATATTTTAAATTAATACTGTACAGATTTTTCCCTAACCCCCCATTTTACAACTTGCATATTATCTTAAAAACTTGTCCCTTGTCCTTATAGCAGCCTTGCAGTACCTGAAGGGAGCCTACAACAGAAATGAAGAGGGACTTTTTTCAAGGCCATGTACTGACAGGACAAGGGGGAATGGCTTTAGGCTGAAAGAGAATAGGCTTACATTGGTAGTAAGAAGAAATTCTTTACTGTGAGAGAGGTGAGGCAGTGGCATGGGTTGCCCAGAGAAGTTGTGGATGCCCCACCCCTGGAATCATTCAAGGCCAGGCTGGGTGGGCTTTGAGTGGTCAAAGTTGTCTCTGCCCTTGGCAAGGAGGTTGGAACTAGGTGATCTTCAAGATCCCTTCCAACCCAAACCATTCTGTGACTCTATTAAATAAGAATCCCATTAACTCCTGATGGACATAATGCCCTGACAGGTTAGCTATAATAAATGAGATACTTTGATTATTATAGTATTTTCAGTATGTCCTGCTAACGCTAAATTTAGACACTACCACTCATTGTATTATTTGCTCCCTATTAATGTAGCCTGTCCTTTTATTCCTGCCAAACAGCACTTATCTACTTGTTCCAAATGAGAACCTTACATGTCCAAATTAACTACTATTTCTAGATCATCGCTTCAGAAATATTTCACTCTTTCAATATTTCAGTTTTATTGAACATCACTCATTTTGGTAAAGGAATTATGAACAGGTCTTCGTAACACAACAGCAATTTTTCTACTGTAGGCCACCTAAAACTAAAAATGTAGTTCAGTTGCAGAGTGGGTTTGCTTTTTTTTCCCCCCGTTTTTGAAAGATTGTAGTGACTTTGTAGAGCTAATACAAAGTTTGGGCATTTGCTTGTGTTTTTTAATTAATTCACAGAATATTCTGCAGTAATAACAAAATGTGTATGTTCAGATGCTATTAATGAACATCAGTTTAAGAATCTACATAAAGAGCTAGACTAAACTAGTTTTCTTTTGCTTTGTATCCACTTAACAGCAATGGAAAGCACTCAAAGACAGTTGTACTTACTTGACTTTTGCATACCAGTTTCACAGGCCCAAAGAATTATGTTTAAGTGAGCTGCCAAACCTGAGTTTGGTGCCAGACTCAATACTCTTAGTTTATCACCAGCTGACCCATTGCTGTAATTCTAATACTCACTTTCTTGCTATACACTCATATTTCCTTACAAATAAGATTCCACAGTCACTGCAACATATCCCCCATTTCTAGGGGTTAAAACATGACTGGAAAAGTCTGTAGCCTACAAAACTACTGCTAATATTCACCTGAGTTTCTACCTGTGCTTATAATCTCCATAAGGCATTGGAATCACTAAATTTTATGGGTATCTGTATCTAAACTTACAATATTCACTGTAGCCTGACACTATCCCAATTGGTTTCCAGCAGAATTCATGCCAGTGGGCACAGTCTGGATCTGATTTGGAGGATGCGATGGAAATAGGGATCGTTAAAAACACCCCATTATCATATGGTCTGGTAGTTGGCTACAGTGCTGTTCTACAATCATGATTTAGTACAGATGTTTCATTTAAACTCTAGGTTTATAAAGGTACACATTTTTTTGGTTTACTCTGATTATAACCACAGTCTACTCCTCCCCGGTAATCAACTGCTAGAATTTGTCAAATGTTGTCATTTAATATGTGGGTCACTTCCAGTGCTGTGTTTGTTGCATGGAATGCTCCACTTCCATAGAAACAGATGTTTTAACTTAACAGCAGAAAGAGCTAAACAAGTGCATGTGAAGGCACAGTGCAAATAATGTGTTTCATTTCTGTTATTTATAGCTGTCCGCAGCTATCATAATTTTTTTATTTGAAAATTATTAAATCAATTACAAGAAGTTTATTTGCAGATACTGCCAAGAATGATGCATGCTAGGCAACTGCTTCTGGGGAAGTGTCTTCTTCTGGGCCATTGCAGAGGCATTTCAGTGAAGCCAATCCATTTCTGAAAGACTACAGTATAACAGGGTCTGTACACTAGGCCTCAGGTTATACATAGGAAAAAAAATACCCTCTTTAGACCTCCCAGCCCTTCTGGCAGATATGTCAGGTGTTAGGGCAGTGGAGCTAGATTGTACTTAACTTCTCAGCATATTTGAAGAGGGCAAGACCAGTTGAAATGATGGTTAGCAGGAAGACTCATGGGAGAGGGCTCTGGCTGGAAAAAGGCTGAGCTGAGAGGATGGGTTTCTTCCTTCTTTCAGTTTTATTTGACTGAAATACATCCCACCCAAACTGGGAATTGTGTTTATATGAAAAACTAGTAATAGTCTTATCTAAAATGCAAGGGGGAAATATTTTTTTGAAACACAGAACTATTTCCACATAGCAGAATGAAGAAACAAATCAGCCATCTGTGAAATTCTTTGCTCTTTAAAATCCTACCTGACTAGTTTCAGGTCACTGTAGGAGCCACTGATTTTTATAACAGAAGTGATGTTTGAAAGCGAGCCATACTGCATACTTTCCAAAGCACACAGACAAAATAATTTGTAACAGTGCTGTAATATTCCACATCCAGGGGCAGATCATGTAAAGAGTGAGCTGTGTGCAACCAAGGTAAGTGCTTATAGCTGATACTGTCTAACATCACTTCCCAAACAAATCCCATAATTTTTACACTTGAGCCACAGGCAAGCCTGAAAGTAGAGGCCAGATTACTTTAAAAGTTCACTGTGTTCCCTTTCACGCCCACCCAAAATGCCCTGGACGTGTACTCCACCCACCTATCCAGGGGTTTCTGTGCAGTAGTCAGAGCCAGGCCAGATGAGAGAAGTATCTGTGTTTGGAAAGCCTCCGCAAATGTGGGACACAAAAGCAGTAAACAAATCAATGGGATACCAACCAAATGTGTTCCACATTTGTGAAAATAACAAAGTTGAGTCAGGAAGAAAGGTTTATGTGTCTTCTCCTCATACAGTCCTTCCCAAGGTACTTTCTTGCAATCCCCCCAAAATTAAATCCAGCCCAGACAGCAGCAATATTTGTGAGTACACAGCACAGATCAAATGCATTACAAAGCCATTGACAGCTCCACGTGGCTTGGCATGAGGCACAGCTCAAATGGCTGAGCAGGTGTTTCCTCCCACAGTCCTCCTCCGTGCACAGGCGCTCTCTGAGTGACACGGATGTGCCACCGCGCGGCACTGCTGGAAGGAGCACCTGCCACTTGCAGTGGACCCAAGCTCGGGAGCCAGGCTGGCAACTTCTTCCCACACAACTCTCAAATCTCTGCCTCCGCCATGAATTCCTGCATGGTAAAATCTCTGAAACAGTTCTCTAGTCGTGAGAAAGACCTCAGGACACCTGCCTCCATTTGTACGAGTGACAGAAAGCCTCTCTGAAGGGACTTGTGAAACCAGAGGAATGAGCTCACCTCTCCTAAACAGGTTACACAGCATCTGGGAGCTTCACAGTTTGGTGTCCAGTAGCTGTACTACAGCAACAGAAAGCAGGCACACAGGCAGTATGGGACAGAACTGCTCTTCAACATCAAATTTATATTAAACATTAAATGTAAAAAAATTAAATTACTGAAAAGTTTGTTCAAAGCTTCTACTAATTCATTTTTCTATTAAAATCTTGACATTAAAAAAAAATCACTCAGGGCTATTAATTAAAACTGTGCTTTGGCACATCTTTAATGAGAGATGGGAATTTTTGAAAGCTGGGATATCTGGAAGGCTTTTTTAAGTCTTTTCAGTGTATTCAAACTAAATGCTTAATGTCCACCCATAGTAAGTGAGCACGGTCCAACCCAAGCCAATAAAGAAAAATACTGTCAGCTGATGGCTTAAAAACTTACACTTTAGACAAAAAGAAATAAGCCATCATGACTGTTTGGCAGCATATCAATATGAAGATGCCTTGCATTAATGCGCTATATATTTAGGGGTGGGGGATTTTATTTATTCAGTGAACTCAGCCCTTTCCTGCAGCAAATTTTCTACAGGGGAAGTGCTATAAATTTGTTTTGAATTAATTTTTGTCTTAAAAGTAAAAATTCATGGTACAATTTACATGAATGAGGGTAGCCATTTCATACTTGAAATTTAGAATTTCATTGTCCACCTGAGTCATTTATTATTTTTTTAATCTTTGTTGGATGATGCAACCTTTATAAAGTGGGCAGAAGGACCTCAATAATTTACTGGGACTGTCATTCATTTAGAATCCTGGTTAAAGAAGGAAGATGTATTACACTAGCACTGGATAAGCAGATAAAGGAATACTAGGGTATTACGTAGTTTCCTTGCTTTCTTAACTAATAAAATCATTATTATCCTAGATATATTGTCTTCATATTTAATATATGCTCTCTTCCTGAACAAATGAACCAAAGAAACATATTGCAATAAAATTCAACTGATTTAGTAGACCTCAAAATCCAGAATCCTTTTATGCATGAGCTATGCACAGTTTTGCCTGCACATTATAGTCACATTTATCTTTCTTCCTCTGATATGGTTATTTGCTATAGAGTCTGGAAAAAGGATTTGAGGATCCAACTTGAAATACCAATGAGAAAAAAATCTTACTCTGTGATGTTAAGTGTGGCCTCTTTCTGCTTTTCTTTCTATTACACCTATTTTCTGTTCACTAGCTAACTAATCTTCGGGACAAACCTAAAATGTAAGGAAAAAGTTATAACAAATCTACAGTTTGCTTTCTGTACCTGGCATCATAGCCACGTGTCTTCTACCAAGTATTTCCACGTTCTTCAACTACTTTATTTGCTGTAAAAATTAATGGAAGAAAGTATTCTCAAGAAATACTGGCCTTCTCAGGGATTTGTGTGCTGAACATCCAGAGGTTGAAGAAGGCTTCTTGCCATCCTGCCTTCTCCAAGGGATTCCTTTCACCCCTCTGGCATGCATGGCCATGTCTTCAAGGTAAAGGCTCGCAAGCAGGTCTTTGCTCTCTCCCCTTCTTGACTTTTTTATCATTTTACTTACATTTTTATCCTTGTTCTCAATTCCATAAATGTAACAATCTACAATGCAAGCTCCAGTATCTTCTTGATCTGAAAGACAAGACAAAGAGAGAGCTGATAAGAAAAGGAATTTCACAAGGCAAAACTATCCTGTGACAGTAACTTGATAACAACTATTGTAATACAAAACTGAGTTTATCTATCATTCTCATTGTTTCCATTGGTTTGGTTTCTTTTTTTTTTTATTTCAGTTACCACCACTCACCACTGGTATTTTGCAGAAGAGAGCTAGATGCAAGAAGAGACATTATCTGCACATATGCTTCTGTCATCTCAGCAAAACTCTCCTCCCACTTTCAGCATGTGCTTGCACTCAAAACGCAGATGAGGAAGCTTATCTCCTTTGGTGAGCACCAGACTGTGACCCTGGGAGGGGAAGCAGCAAGACATGCATGGGAGGTACCACCAGCAAGAGATACCAGCTAAAACCCGACAAGTGCAGCCTCTGAACTGTCTCTGCTGCTGCTGGTGCTGCACACCTTCCACAGCCCTGCTCCCAAAGCACCACCTGCCAGTACTGACACAAACATTCAAAACTAACACACACCTGATCTATGTATGAGTCAGTTCAATCCTCCTCCACTACTGTTTCTAACACATGTTCACTGAACTGCAAGATTCAATACTCCAGGCACCTCTGCCACTCCTCTTGAGCCTTCTTCAGATGCCTCAATCACATAAAGCTGGAACACGGCTGCAGCCTATAGGTAGATATGTTTATATGTCATAAACTTAATTTTGTTAAAATCAATGGAGGCTCTAAAAAAAAGTAAACAAAAAAATGCAGGATGGACAATAAAATCAGGTAAGTCCTACACAAGATGTCTTCAAAATCTTGAGTTTTATTTTCTTCAGGTGTTTTACCTTTTCCAAGTAAAGAAAAATGTGTTCTGGGAAAACACATTTGTCTCAGCATCCCAGCCCCTTCTAGGGATTTCTTCTAAACACCAAATCCTCACTCAGCACGCAGAGCTGTCAAATTTGGTAGTGCTAGAGTTGTTTTGATGGGAAGATCAAGCAGTTAAATCACAAGAGGCAGAAGTAAATTAACTTTTTCTAAACTACCTAATGAGACTGAAGAAAAAGCTGAGTCTTTGCAATTTCTATTTAGAATTTCAGAAATGAATTTGTCTACTAAAGCTCACACAAAACTAAATACTGTTTTGTTGACGCTGGTATATATGGGAAAAACTCAATTGGACAAAAATCCACAAAACATGTATTTCCAAATCAGTTGCTTGCATGCTAGAAAGCTGTCATTTAGAGGGTTTCAAGACAGTATTTTGTGATGTTCTATTTGGTATTTTATTTTACATTATTTTATTATGCCTCATTAAAAAGGAGTTACTTTCCATTTTCAGAATCCTTAAAGATATCATCATTAAGCTCACATAAAATTTTCACTGAAACATCTTTTATTTCCTTTCTAAGCCAAAAGACCTTGTGTTTGATAATGAAGCAGCTGGACACATGGATATTGCATGTACATAATACATATTAACATTACTATACCTAAATAAAGCAAAAATAAAAATTTTAGAAAAATTAAAATTAATATAATACAATGCAAGAATTATGTTCATAATTTAAATTAAATTTTACAATACCTTCAATATCTTTTTCATCAAAATAAAATTTAAAGGAAGTATTTCAGTATAATCCAAAGCAACATTTTAATAAAAAAACATTTTGTGAAAAAATTCTCACATATACTCACTTGTATAGGGACTAATCAGGAAATAAGCTTAGCTGTTAGTCCCAGAATCAGGAGGCAGAAACATCCACTTTTCCTTTATTATTTATCTGGAAATATGAATTCCTGTAAATTGACATTATTCACTTTTACTTCCTGCAAAATTGTATAAAATGATAAAATATATAATAAAGAAAAATACTGTAACATAAAATAAAATTAATGTTTGTTTTTTCTTTTTTGCTGGGAAACTCCTTTTACCTGTTTGGGGTACAATGACAAAATTCCATTCTGAAATTCCAAAATGCTGGTTTCCACTGCTAGAAAATTAAAGCTCTGACTTGGATGGATCTTTGGATTCCACCACACCGAGGTACCAAGACCTCAGTGCCGATCACTCATCTCCCTCTCTTATCTTACAGAAGTGCAATGACACATTGATTTCTTCGTGCATTTTAGCTTAGGATACAAGTGTTCAGGTATTAAGCTGATCCTTGTTTCATTTCCATGGCTGCAAAGAAACATTTTATCCTTTTAAGGGATGGACTAAATGCTCCCCACTTTACTTGTTGATTTCACCACTTTTGATTACATCTGCAATCTTTCAGTCTCCCATAGAGCCTTCTCAGCACAGAATGTCCCAGGAGTCAGCATGTTCTCCTGGATAGACTTGCAGCTGCAGGACATAAAGCAATTCAAAATCCTTTTGGGGCAAAGCCACCTTGTGACACATCAGCAGCAATAGGTATGAATTTCTCTGGAGTTATAGCACAGGCAATATGTGAAAGGATATTCAGAACTCCATTTTACAGGCAGCTCACACCGTTACAGTGAGCACATGCTTCACACAGGCTCTGCTCAGGATTTTCTGTGTAAAGTACTTTTAGCCATATTATCCATGCAAGATGCATCATTGCAGTCCCCCACCAACAAAATCAGAACAGATCAATTGCTTTGTGTTTTCCCCATACATATCATCTCCTCTGTGGTAAATTCTTTCTGGCTCCATCCTTCTCCCAGTGCTGACAAGAGGGCCAGGTTGTCCAGCAGCAGAAGGAATTGTCTGGGCTGCAGTCAGTCAAAGACTACAAAACTCCTTCTTGTACTTGGAGTTCAACTGGGAACAAACCCACATCCAGGAAGGTGTGTATTTTCCCATCCTGTTTTATCTCTGGTGCACTTGTATCACTGAGCTTCTGTTTCCTATTTGAAATCAGTTTCCTGAACACACAATTCCCATCTTATAGGTCTCCTGGTACCATATGCTTAGGATTCTCCTAAACTCAACAAGCTTTAGATAAGATCAAATTAAGTATGAGTCAGAAGTTCTTCATGCTCACTGCAGAACTGATCTCTACTCTCCATTTTCCCAGGACAGAAAAAAAAAAGGCTTAATTTCGCACACTCACAGGACATCTACCCCAGAATTGAACCTTTTGGAGGGTGAGGAGACAGCAGGTCTGCAAGACAGCATCATCCCAGCTCACCTGTCAACAGTACAGTGGAAAGAGAGAGACAGGAAATCTTTTCCTGCTGAGTAAACCAGAAACACTACAGTCTCACTTTGCTCATTATGAAAACATCGCCACTATGTTTTCTATCCTTGAAAAAGACAAATCAAAAATGTTATTATTTGTTCTGACAATTACAATGACCTTTAAACCTGAAATTTGGCCTGCTAAGGCATTTTGGACTCACAGTTTTTCTTAATTCCTATACAAAAATGCATTACACATGTATTTGGAGCAACTGGAAGTACTCTGCTGTGCAGCTGCAGACAAACACAATTTCCAACAAGGTGGTTCCAACATCTGACTCCTGTTTTAACTTGGTTTGGGGGAGTCAGTTCATTGGCTGGTGGCCCCTGTGCAGATCCACGGGTTTTGCTTGCTCTGAAAGTTCAATGCATGCAGTACCCAGTTAAACTCCCTGGCAGGTTCAGAATTCCTTTGGAGAAGTCAGTCAGGAAAGTCATCTTCATGCCAGAGAGGCACTGCCTGCCCTGCACTGCCATTAATGGTCTTTTGTAAAATTCAGTAGCTGTCTCAAGCCCTCAGATGAGAAATACGAGGCTGTCATATAACAAAGCAATTTGATTACACAGAAATCAATCCCCTGCAAGGATTTGATAACCGCAACAAAATTTCCTACCAAATTTAACAAAATTCCTACTTAAATCATTCTATAAGCTTGTGCTAAAGCACTTTGTTAAATGAAGACTTAAGCAGAGGAAGACAGTGCCTTTGTGCTCTCTTTGGAATAACAATCTGAAATGCTTCAAATTGGGTCTGGAGTCCCTTACATCTTTTATATTGTTTCCTAAATCAGAACAATCATCTGCAGAAAAAGAGAAATGATGAAAATTTCTCAAGCCGGAAACTGTTTCCAAGCTGCATTTTTCTTGAACAAGATTCTAAAGTTGTATATTACAACTAAATTAAATTTAAATGTTTTAGGCTGTGAGGAGTCAAACTATTGCCAGTGTGCTTAGCACACTACCCCTGGAATGCTTGTAGTCTCCAATTTGTTTATTGCTAGTTAACCATATCTATGTGGGGAAAACCCTTGCATATTTATAAGCTCTACCTCTTCCTTAGGATGTCATCATTTTGGTGAAGAAGGTTATTTTAAGAATGGGAGATAATATAAAAGCACGATTTCCTTTCATCAGACTTGTCTTTCTCCCTCACTTTTCTGCTCCTAGCTCTGCATCTAAATCACCACTTTCTTCCACATCTTGGAATAAATGTTTACAAGATGCAATAGCCGGATTTTTCTTGTGGGTGTACAGTCATCCCAAAACCTGGGATTTAATGATTCACATAGATTTTATGCAGAGATGGATACATTTCACCAGAAATAAAAGGGAAAAGCAAACCTGGTTAACTGTATTCCTTTGTACACCCTTGGCTTGTCTCAGTTCAGTAGATGGAAGCACACATATTTAGATTAACACCTGTAATATAGTGTTGGATAAAAAATTTGTAAAATATGCTAACTTTGTAATATTTTCTTATTTTTTTTTTACTCAAGCTAAAAAACCCTGTTCTACAACACACTGCTGATGGAAAGGCTGTGTTCTGAGTGAGACGTGTTTCTCGGAGAGCCTTCACATTCCAACAACATTTTTTGGTGGTCTAAGCGCAAAACACTAATTTCCTTGTAGAGTCACAGGTTATCACACTCGGGCCCAGCCTCCCAAGCTGCAGTTCAGTGGAGCTTCACCTCAGTCTTGCCATGAAGAAGGGGATTTGCACGCAAAGACCGAGACACCACGAGATGCTGAAGCATAACAGCTTGCCCTCAGTGGAAAGCAGCTTGCCGTGCTGCTGCAGAGCTGATCACACTTACTTTTAAGCATGGTGCATAATAATGTTGTTTTTCATGAAATTATGAACTATTAAATCTGCGTGACATATAGATGAGAGAAGAAACGTTCACAGGCCCACTGTAATTTATGAACATGTGGTGCACAGATGTTACATGAGATTTTTCTTCCCTTTACTTTTCAAAATTTGCATTCCATTTTCCCTCCTTCTCTCTAGTGTTCAAACTCCGTATTCGATGCTTTATTAGATGTCTCAGCAGGGTAAATGGATGATTAATAATTGTTGATGACAGCAATTTGGTTTCTATAAGCTGTGGAGTGAAAGATAAATATGACGGGAACAGGCATACCTATGTATGACAACTAAGCCTCTTTAAGAATGTATTAGGGTTACCCATGATTTATGGGAATGTCACCACTGTCCCTAGATAGGGAATATCTCTTAAATTTATCTTACTGTAATCATCACTTTTTCTTCAGGTACCTAGGGGAAAAATATCATCCCAAAGAAAAGAAAAAGAAGGAGAGAAAGAAAGAGAGAGAAAGAAAGGAAGTAAGAAAGAAAAGAAAGAAAGAAAGAAGGAAAGAAAGAATACTGATGATACTTCTCTCATTCAAAAGTTTGTTCTTAAAGAACTCCCATCTTTCTGGAAAACTAATTTCTCCTGAAGATAAATAGTTTAAAAACTACTACAGATTTTTCCGACTCTTACTGTTACAGTGTCATCCCCCTTTGGGTCTGTAGGAGGATGGAAACTCTCTGCTTTCCTGCACCTTTTTTCTTAGCTCCATGAAATTTTCATAAGTTAAATTTGCACATAGAAAGAGAATGACTCCACACATCTGGTAATTAGTCTGGGAAATGTTCTGATACAAGAGATTATTTGATTAAGAACTGCAGTTGAACTATATTTCTATGAATTATTCCTCTTAATTAATCATTATGCATGTTGATAGAAACCTCATCTGATTTGTTTCAAGAGTACACAGCCTGACAAACGGTTTTTAGAAAAGGTTAGGAAGTCTGCTTTCTGTTTGCAACGAAAATAGCAATCATGTTAAGGTTTGGCCCTTTACTGTTGCTTTTAGTCCCAAGCTCATGTATACCTGGAAACCTAAGGCAAGACTGGCCAAAAGCACAGTTAATTTGAAGGGACAGGGAGGGACTGTGCTCCATGAGAGGTTCAAATACTCTGCACTGACATATTGGCCTCCTCCTCCAAGACTTCAGAAGAAACAGCAAATTTCTATTTCTCCTATCTGCCACTTTGATCTGAGCTGCTGGCAGTGTATTCCTCCACAACAATATGAATTAATGAAATCAATAGAAAACTCCCCTTAATTTAAATTGGGCTTGGGGCAACTTATCTTTAACATTACTAAATTAGCTTTGATTTTGATCACCACTTAATTGTGGACAAAAGGAGAGGAAAACTTAGAAATAGGGAATATGTGACAAATGCTTCTCTGACTCACCAGAGCTGGTTTCATTACAAAACCCCACTCCATTGTGCTGAAGCAAAGCAACATCTCTCAGTTGCTGGAGCAGACAGACGAGCCTGAGGTGCTGCTCCACTCACATTGCGGCTCCGTGGCTGGCAGGAGGCACTGCGGGCACACCCGAAACTGCTGGGTTTTGGTAGAAACTCTGAGAAAAAACAGCAGAAAAGTCTTTTAGGCTAAAAACGGGATATAGGGCTCATTTGCTTCTGAGGACTGGGAGAGGCCCTGCCAGTGTGTTGCCCTTGTGCTGCACAGGCTGTGCAGAGAGTCCCTCCCATCAGCTGAGGTGGCTCCTCTCCAGCCTTTCTTGATGATGGTAAATGCCTTCAAATGCAAGAATATGTGATAGTTATTGTCGTGATACCAGTTTTGAACCAGTGTCTCCAGAGCTGGAACCATTGTTAGTTTTAGGCATGCAGGCAATTTTCTTCAGCTCTGCCATTAGCAGATCATCTTCCATCTCTGCTCTCCACTTGGCACAAAGAGGGATTGACAGAGAATTTGTGTAAGTTTGACCTGGTTCTCTTGCCCAGCCTAAGCTGTCTCCTCCCCCCCTCCCACTCTGTCAAGTGAGGGAAAAAAAAACAAACCACAGAAAAACCGAAGGAAGTCCAAACAAAAATGGAATTATATCAAAAATATATATTTACATATATTTACAATTATATATACAATTTGAATATATTATACACACAATAGGAAGCTCCTGAGGGGGAAAAAAGGGAAAAGGGAGGGGGAAACAGGGATAAAAAAAACCCTAAAAACAAATTCCCTCCAAATATACACCGCTAATAGAGAGCTAGCAAATAAACAAATAAAAAAACAAATTAAATACTTCCCTGAACGAGACAACAGAATTGTGCAAGGCACCAGCCAACTCCCCACGCCTCCCAAAAGGACCAGAGATAATGGCAGGCCTTGGCCTATACAAGCAAAGACCGTCTGTGGAGAGACGGTCTCTCTTCTGTCGCCTTCAGCCACCAGAAGAGAGAAGAGAGTGAACTCTCTTATCTGTGCCTTATTTTTATGTTGTGTTACGCTTAAGGATGATATGGAATACTTCCTTAGATTTCTGACCCCCATTGCTAAGGAAGGCCTAAAAAATCCAAAAGCCAACTACTACACAGGGGGATAGAATAAGCTCCACTTGCCAAAACCCAGATAATTTCATACAGGTGAGAACAAGTATGTTTTAATTCAGAGACATTTCCCTCTGGAGCAAAACTCTCACTTAACAGTCTGAAGCACAATGTGCCTCTGAGTGTTTCCTGTCTGAAGAACGCTGAGTGACCCAACCCAACAGTCCTCCAGTCTCCTAGTGTTGGAGCATGTGTGTCAGGTGCAAGAACATGGACAAAGGGATGAAACCTTTCGAGTTTCTCCACCTTCCAAAAAATGCTCAAACTGGCATTCAGACATACAGAATAACAACACCCTACTGTCTCAGGTTACTGAGCAGACCTTAACTTATTTTAGGATTATCAGTAGTTTTTAAACCAGTGAAAAACTAGAGACAGCTGCCCTTCTATTTTGGCGGTTCTTACATTTTCATGCCATCCACAAGGCATTTATCTGGACTTCTGTAAAGCTTTTGGCACAGGCCCCCACAACATCCTTCTCTCTAAATTGGGGAGAGACGTATTTGATGAGTGGACTATTAGATGGATAAGTGTGGTTGGCTGGTTGTATCCAGAGGGTAGTGGTCAACAGCTCAGAGTCCCAATGGACATCAGTGACAAGTGGTGTCCCCCAGGGATCCGTATGGGGATGAGTCATATTTAATATCTTCATTAATGACACAAATGAAGGGAATGAGTGCACCCTTATCGAATTCGCAGATGACACTAAGCTGAGTGCTGTGGTTGACACATGTGAAGGACAGGATGCCACCCAGAGGGATCTGGACAAGCTCAGGAAGGTGGCTCATGAGCTTCAATATGATCAAGTTGAAGACGCTGCACCTGGGTCGAGGCAACCCTTGGTATCAAAGAGGTTGGAGGTTAAACAGATGGAGAGCAGCCCTGCCAGGAAGGACTTGGGGGTGCTGGTGGATGAGTGGCTGGACATGACCTGGCAATGTGCACTTGAAGCCCAGAAAGTCAAACATGTGTTGGGCTGTATCAAAAGCAGCATGGCCAGCAGGGCGAGGGAGGGGATTCTGCCCCTCTACTTCACTCTGGCAAGACCCCACCTGGAGTGGTGTGTCCAGACCTGGGGTCTCCAATACAAATCTTGCCCAAAATTAAATCTAGTTTTCTTTTCTGCTTTTCTCTCTTCACAATAGCTCAGGCAGTGTAGCTCTCTCAGGTGAATCAAGATGATGGATACTGCATTTTTTTTCCATAGAGGCTGACCGAGAGGACAATGACGATTAGCATAAAGCTACAGTACATAAAAGAGTTCGAATATTCTTGCTTTGTCTGATACATTTCAAATACACTGCCCTGTGCTAATGAGATGAAAAAGAGGACAAGCTTTCTCCTTTCCTTAGTTGATCTGAGCTGGTCACAAAGATGGAGCTCTAAAAAAGTTTAACTGGTTCCAGCTGGATCCTACAAACCCTATGAAGGACTAGTTCCTCTTCGGCAGACTAGAAGAATGTAAATTATTCTTATGTCATGACAGTGGCAACCACTCACAATTTCTACCATTGGGAAAAGTTGTGGAGGGTACTGTAAGAGTATGTAACAGAGAAAAGAGGGATTCTCTTAGGAGGATTTACAGACTTGCAAAAGATTGTAATAGCTAGATGTGCACAAGAGTAGACTTCATCAGGAAAGTATAGAGAACTGTATGCCAGTGGAGAGGGCAAAATAATGGAAAATACATTGTATTGAACAATTTTTTGTTAGAAGCAGGAAGGATACGATGAACTATCAAGTAATTTTTCTCACTATGCATGTCTTCTACTGCTTTTGAAAATAACCTGGCTTTCCAGATAGATACTTGCTGTGGGACAGCAGCATCATATTTACAATAGTAGTTCACAAAGAAAGAAAGAATTAATGGGGAGCCCTTTGAAAAATGCATCTTTGACAACAATTGGCATGTTTAAGTGTGTTGCTTTTATTTTATCTTCCCTAAGCAAGTACAAATCCAAACTGTAACCTTTAATGGTGGGCACATTGTGCATAACCAGAGCAATTTCACGTAAATATGTGAATGTATTTAAACAAATAATCTAAGGCAGCCTTAGCACAACGAATGAAAAAAATGAAAATCAATATAATCCAGAGTTACACTGGTGTGTGCTCTTGCAATATACACCTACTGGGACTTAGTTTAAAAGTGTTTTGAAATATTTCTTTCTCTTATATTTATTTTAATGGAAACATTCCCAACTGTTGATGGCAGATATCATATGCTTGTGGCGATAAGAAAAATGGTAGATTTCTGTTCCTGCAGAATGTCTTGTTTCAGCAGCATACAAAGAAACACCATATTGTAAAGCTGAACTGGAAGCCTGTCAGTGACACAAAAATATGGAAGAAATTTAATTGTTTCCATAATTCCTTCTTTGAGTTAAATAAATCTACTCAGACATGTAACCCCTAAAAACCTGACAAAGCCGCAGATGTTAAGTTAAACAGTTTGTGTTTCTTTTGATAGCAAACCTTATTAAATGTGAACTGATATGGTTTATGCAAACATGTGAGATACAAAATAGTAGGATCTTTTAACTTAATTCAGATAGCAACTTTCAAATATAATCTGTAAATATTTAACCAGGGACAAAAGGTACTGGATTTTGCAGGATTTCATTAAAAACAAACCCAATAACCTGGTACACTCAATTATAGTATAGTGCTGGCAATGACTGCTGCTCTAGCCAGTATTTTCTCATAATGTCTGTTACTTTCTCCCATTTTGTGATTGCCCTGAATTTCTCCTCTTATTTTATCAAAACCAGGCCCCTGAATCAGTTTAGTTTATTTCTTTCTTCAGACCAAGGACAAAAAGGTAGTATAATTCCCACTAAATCTTGGAATACACTTTCTTTTGTACTAGCAAGTATTTTCTTTTACTAAAAATACAATATTTATCCAATGTTAAAGCCTGTTGTAAAATAGAAACTGAACTGGCAACACTGACTAAAACCACATACCCAACCTAATTCCTTTACATCTGCTTTTATTTCTTGGACTTCTTCAACCTTGCTCAGATTTCGGCTCCATGACCAAGTAAGCAAGAATTTAGCAAACGATAAAGCTATTGACCTGCAGGAACAGGCAGAGTTCATCAGGAAGGTTCCAAATACACTGTCCAAGGGGTCAACACAGATACAATGAGGTTCTCACCGAGTGTGCTGTCATGGGAGGCATCCAAGCACAATGCCACTGTGTAAAGACAAGAAGCCAATGTGTAAAGACAGCTACAGCACACTAATTACGGACAGTTTACTGACACACTATTATGTGACTAGTATTGCTAACTAGTAGCTAGTCTGTTACTGATACCGTCACAGTATCACAGTGAGATGCAGCATGTTTATGTCTGGATGATCTTTTCTTACATGCCTGAGGAAAGAGCCATCTTTAGAAAGGAGGTAAACTTGAACCCAATAAACTGAACCCATCAGAAAAAGGTGTACCAGCTCCAGAGCTGAATGTGACTGGCCACTGTGCACATGGCTGGATGGAGAGAGGCAATAGCTCTGAGTTCGTCACAAACACAGCAGTCCCACAACACCAGGAACACTGTTCCCAAGGGAATGTGGGTGAGCATGGCTGGCACATAGTGGAGACTAGTCCATGAAGCACTGGGAAGATTTAGACCTGAGACAGAATTCCTCCTTAAATCAGCAATGCATGTACTCATCACGCTCAACATAGCAGAACATAAATCCTTTAGCCACCTCATAGAACACCAGAAAGTGATTTTTCAGAGCAACTGCATTTCAGATATTAATTTTAGGCTCTCACTTTTCTGCTTTGTTCCCCTCCAGTCAATTAAACAAAGACATGTAGAGGAACCAAGGAGAGAAATACGAGCAGCTGAAACAGAAAAGTGCTGTCATGATTGTACAATAGGTTGCTCGTATTTACAAAATTCCGTGCACTCAGATTCAATATTTTCCATATGAAGATCCTCACTTAGTATTAATGCTGATGCGGTATGGAGGATAGGGCCCCTCTT